GGACCGGTCCAATGCCCCCCACTTCTTTTTGGGGTTCAGTTCCACCCGCTAAAAACCCACTTTGCGTCCTGGTCGCCCGCCACCGAAAATGCGACACCTTGACGCAGACGCAGAAGCCCACTATACCGCAACCTTAGGGCTGCGAACATGACAAACATAAATATAAGTATGATAAAGACCTCGTTCGACACCACTTGGAATTTATTGTTTTTCAATAAATCGTCGTTCGATCCTGCCTCAATGACGTACCCTTGAAATCGGTAATTGTTTCCAAATCTCTGCGGCCAAGTGCCCGCCCTTTAAACAAAAATGCATCCTAGCCAAATCAAGGAAAATCCCAAGGGTGACTCGGGAGGTCATTTGGGGCGCAAGGGATGGACCCTAAAAAATGGGTAACATGCTGACTTTTTTTATTTATTTTTCCCACCAATCACCACTGTTCTTATTGCAATGTCGTCAACACTTCAGTTTCAAGGACAATCGTACCAAGGGTTTCGTCAAGGGGTTGTGGAACGAAAAAATAAGTTAGGGGAAATAAATCACCTTCCATTAGTTAGGGTGCCCAACTCAAGTATTTTGAAGTGGTGTCGAACGAGGCCCTAAGTGGGTAAGGATGAAGTTTGGTGAGTGAGTTTGCAGCCCTAAGGTTGCGGTATAGTGGGCTTCAGCGTCTGTGTCAAGGTGTTGCATGTTTGGTGGCGGGCGACCACAATGCAAGTGGGTTCTTAAGGGGGGGGGGATTTTGGGTACCGGTTCTTCAAGATATTGCGGACTACCTACATCTAGCTCTTCTAGAACCGAAAATTTTGGAAAAAGGAAGGACTAGTCCTCGGGTGGAACGGATCCCAAAAAGAAGTGAGGACATGTGAACTGCAAAAGGATCCTCAGGCCCAGACGTTGAGGCCCGTCTTCTCAAAACAGGGAGGTCAGGCGCAACGAAACAGACGTTTTGCAAGAAACAACTTGACAATTTTCTGTGCTCGGAGGAAAGAAGGTTAACAACAGCCATATTTTTCATCACCACTTCAGGACACCCTTCACCACTTCAGGATCCAGCCTGCCTAAACAGGTGGTGTTCAGGGTCTTCGGACCTTTCAGCACCTCATGACCATTCATGTCTGAAAATCCTGAATGGTCCTGAAGTGGTGAAAACTCCGAAGACCCTGAAAACCATCTGTTTAGGCAGACTGCATCCTCAAGTGGTGAAGGGTGGTTTTCATGGTCTTCGGACCTTTCACCACTTTAGGACCATTCAAGATTTTCAGACTGCCCAAAACTCTCACTTGACCACTTCAGGACATCCTTCACCACTCCAGGATGCAGCCTGCCTAAACAGGTGGTTTTCAGGGTCTTCGGACCTATCACCACTTCAGGACCATTCAAGATTTTCAGAAAGCCAAAAACTCTCACTTCAAAATTTTAATTCCTTAATTTTCAGCTACCTGATAATTGTTTGTGGCTTGGAGGAATCCGCTGAAAAAACTGAAATTTTGAGGATCCATAAATGAGGTCGTGTTCTTTCCATAAAAAATATCAGAACCTTAAAAAAAAATAATTTAGACTGCGAAATAATCATTGTGTCGATTCGACGAATTTTCAATTTTTGCCACTCAGCCATGTGTGGGTCAACTGAAAAGGTACTATTAATTCAGTGAGTGTATGCACTTAGAAGAATGCGTGATAAAACCTGAAAATTGAATTACTTGTAAATTTTATTCTGATTTTTTAATTAAAAATGTTAAATAAATTATTAAAAAAAACAATTCCAACTGTGAAATAGATCGCGGCCGCAATTTGACCAATATTTTTTTTTTTTTTTTTTTTTTCTCTCTCTCTCTCTCTCTCTCTCTCTCTCTCTCTCTCTCTCTCTCTCTCTCTCTCTCTCTCTCTCTCTCTACCCCTCTCCCTCTCTTAGTCTCATTGCTTTGGCTGCCTTAGGGCTGCGTTCCCCGGACCCACGCGATAGACAGTGGAATAGTGTAAAAATAATGGGTGGAAAACCTTCATTTGCCCTTCACCACCAACATGATATAATAGGTCAAATGACGAGTTTGAACGTCGTGTATCATTAGTGTGATATGATATCTCTTCACATTTTTTATTTGTTTTCCATGTGCATGCCTGATAGGAACTAGGGTATCGAGTGTTAAACCACCACTCCCTTTCACATGCAAACGCAAAGTCCATCCAGTAGCCTACTCCTGAAAACATGGGGCTCGGGGTAGGGTTGGAGGCCGACGAAATAATAATGTAAAAAAAAAAAAAGAGTTGGACGTCGGGAAAGACCCTCACGAGGGTGGCATGTAACACCAGTGCTTTGAGGAATGTATTTGGTCACTATGTGTGCTTAATTTTTTTATTATTATTATTTTTTTCTTCCATGTAGTTATAGGGCCCTGCCAGCCAGGCAGGGCGTATCTCACGGGTGACTCATAACTGTCTGAATGCTGTAGCATCTTGTATCTTCCCTCAATCACAACAGAAGAGAGTGTTTTTTTTTGTTTTTTTTTTTCCCCCCCGTTGTTTGTGTGCTATACGCCCTCAGTAAGGGCACAGTCAGACGGACACCTCATAAAATGTATCTGGTGGTTATTGTGACGTTGAGGAAGTTTTTTTTTTTTTTTTTTTTTTTCCTTGTCCTTTCTCGGACGAAACTGCCCCGGCTCGGCAAAACTCGGTGCGCAGCGAAAATCAGGCTCGACAAAAACAGGATCGGAGGCAGTAGTAGTTTAAAGTTGTCTTAAGACATGTTATTAGTGAGTTTTCGGAGTGGAGCACCTCTCAAAATGTGGAACATGTCCTTTAAACCACCAATACACGGCTTGGAGGCGCTCCATAGCGCACCAAGCTTTGTCGACACACCGAGAATCCAATCTTTCTCATATCGAACATAATAGACTCGGACTTGTTCAATTATGAAATCACTACAAAAGTACGATAATTCTGTTTTACGCGCTTGAATCAAAGTCTGTATTTTGTTTTGAGAAGCTTTGCATACCTCATTCAATTGAATGTMTAATTCAGGCAGAATAATTTGACTRAACATTTTGGCATCTCGTTTGATGAAAAATGCTATTAAGTCCAAAAACTTTTGATCTTGAATTCGTGATAACAAGGCGCCGCTTATACACTGAGCTTCGACATACTTTTTTTTTTTTTTTTGGCTGGCGCTTGTAGCCATTGTGATTCAGTACGCTCAAGGAGCAAAAATTTCGGAGTGGGGGATGAAATATTTACAGCAAAGCTGGGGGCGTGTAATGGTGGTTTAAAAAGAAGGAATCAGTGGGGGGGGTTTGATGCCCCTAACCGCACGGGATGCTTTCAAATGGAAAGAGACAAACACCTCTCTCTCTCTCCGTCTCTTGAGTTTGACGTTGACCTGGACACACGACTGGTTTGTCTCTCTTTTTCAAATGCACAGTGCATAGCCACCCCCCTTTTTGAGCAGGTTACGAGCGAGCGCGCGTGTGTGTGTGTGTGTGTGTTTGTGTGTGTGTGTGTGTGTGTGTGTGTGTGTGTGTGAGAGAGAGAGAGAGAGAGAGAGAGAGAGAGAGAGCTGTCTCTTATACACATCTAGATGTGTATAAGAGACAGGAGAGAGAGAGAGAAAGAAGGGGGCGGAAGTACTCCTTAGCCCGCTTCTTGCTCTCTCTCTATGAGAAAATAAAAACCTAGAAATCCGGTGCCCTTAGGGGTGCGTTCTTGCAGTCCCCAGGATTACCCAATTGTGGAACAAGGCCCAGATTTTGGGCTGGACCATGGACATATTGGGGACTGACCCCAGGCCTTGGCCACAATGGACCTACCCCGAATGTTAGAGACAAACTGGCGAGATAGAGTGATCAGGGGCCAGGTCTCTTTCCGTGCTGTGACGGTGATTAGTGCTGTGTTACACATGTGATGGGTTGGCAGGCCTGATTCGTTTCAGACTGTAGTCCTTCTTCACCCGAATACAACGTGCGGTCAATATTCCTGTATTTAGACGGAAAGATGCCCCCAAAACAGCTATAATGACCGTACGTTGTATTCGGGGAAGAAGCTCCCGTTTTCCCCCGAGCATAACGCACCCTAAAAATGAATGTATACAAGCTATATTTCCGGCCCGATACAGCCAAAATAAGGGTGCGTTGTGTTCGGGGGAAGACGGCAGTCCTTCAGCATGGGCATAGCACACGAGTTGTCTGTCTGGTGCGTCTATCTGGCTGTTGCGGCTGAGCCATTACAGGCTTCTACCTGGCGGTCGCCGGCTGGTTTTGGGACGGGCAGCTGAGCGGCGACCGAGCAACCAAGGCCAACGGAAAGGTCGGCGACCGTTAGACAGGCATGTGAGGTTGAAGGACCGCTACCGCGGGACATCGGCACCTGAGGGCGACCACCACACCTTTGCGCCTAAGCAAAGGACGGCGACCGCCAGACAGTCCTCGAAAAAAAAATGATTACGATCGCCCGACATTGGCTCCTGAGAAAAGGACGGCGACCGCCAGCCAGAGGCACCTACCGGTAGGCAGATGAACGGCGACCGACAGACAAGAGGCTCGTACTCGAAAGGGCGGCGACCGACCGACAGAGGCACGTAAGGAACAGGTCGGTGACCTCCAGGTAGTGGCACGTAAAGAAAAGGTCGGCGACCGCCAGCCAGGCAGAGGCTCCAAGGACAACACAACAAGGCTAACCCCACAGGACGGCGATTGACAGATAAGAGGCTACCGGTAGGTAGTAGTCGAAAGGTCGGCGACCGCTACAGCGGGGCAAGTAAGCAAACGGTCGGTGACCGCCAGACAGAGGCTCCGAAGTCAAGGCTCACCTCAGAGGACGGCGACCGCTACCTACCCGAGCCCCCCACGGCCCGAGGAGACGGCTACCCTGAAAAGGACGGCGACCGCTAGCCCGACGCCCCCAGGCCCCGAGGAGAAGGCTACCTGAAAAGGACGGCGACCACCGAACGGAGGACTACCTAGCTTTAGTGAAAACGGTAGAATTGCGCGGGAAACTGCAAGTTTACGGTTCTTTGCGTTTGGCACTGTTCCTTAACAGCCATCGCCATCGCCATCGCCGTCGCCATCACCATCGTCCTGAAAATACTTGTTGCGCCATGAGATGGTGAGTAATAGTAATCTCTCCGTTATAATCCCTGTGGCATTTAACGAGCGATCGTTCTGTTACGTTTATGATGATCACACGGTCCACCGTTAACGGAGGAATCTGTCCGTTGTGATCTCACCGTTTACGGAGGAATCTGTCAGCTATCGCCTTACCGGTCACCTCCTTCGCTGCTCGGCTTGCGCTTGGCGCTCTGTGCCTTTCACGGAGAACGCTCGAGAGTCAGGGGCGTGTGTGTGTGCGTGTGTGTGTGTGTGTGTGTGTGTGTGTGTGTGTGTGTGTGTGTGTGTGTGTGTGAGAGAG